TCTGCAAATTGCAAAGCTCTCGCTGGAGCAAGCAAAACATCATCATTGTTACAACCCTTTACAAGTTCATGTCACCCTCATAAAACATTCATTGACTGTCCAGACATAACCCTGCGTAGGTACATTTATATTACGTTTGAACAGTAAGAAAAGGGCTGAAAGAAGCAAATGTTTGCTGAAACTCTACTTGTTACATCAAAATACCTGATGAAAATAGCTTTCTTAAATACAAACAAGGGTTTCTTTTCTGTCCGTCAAGGTTTAATTACGCAAATCCCAATTTTAGCAAAGCTCCTATTCCAAGCCCGTGGAATTTGGGTTGTTAAAAGCATCTTTACCCAAGTTAAATGTGAAAGAAACCATTCTAATATTACTAATTTCCTATTACGAGATCTGAAAAATCTGATGAAATTATTTTTAGAGAAAAATATTTTTACAAATTTTAAAACAGTCGCTTTTCAGAAAATGACTATAGTGAATTTTGTAAAATCATGGGAGAACTTAACCGGTCAGAAGCAAGCCAGGCCCCAACCATTCTTCCAGGATACAGGGGCTAGAATTTGATATAGCTCTATAGTTTGATTTACAAAACAATTTTTTTTTTTTTTTAGGGGAAACGGGCCTTTTCATGGCTAGACTTTTCTGCTTGTCTACATTACTAAATGTTCATGATCGTTATGAACAATTAATCCCTGGCATTGAAGGGAAATCAAGGTGATTTTTGTCTGCATGCAAATGTTCCTGGTGAGGGGAACACAAAATTATGGACTACCATCCCGTCGCACAAACGTGGTATGTTAAATTTGATGACCTATTATATTTTTATTTAAATTTAAAACTCCAAATTAATATTCAATTTAAAAAAATTGTCTTATGGATTAGCCCTGTGTTGAAAAAATATTATTTCTACAGCTTAACACAAAAAATGTAAGGGTGTTAATGGTTTTCAGTTTAAAAATATTCTGCTCCAAAGTATGATACTTGAAAGGGATTTAAGCAAATCGCAAACCCCATAAAGCCCCTGTTTTTTTTGGGCGGGGGGTGGTGGTTTTTTTGTTACCTTTTAGTAACTTAGGAATACATGTTTTATTTTATGTACTCTATGTTGTAAATTTTATCCCAAAATACTTTTATTTTATGTGAAATTAAATGATTTTGGTGTAATGTCTCTGTCTGCGTGTCCCAAGCCTATCTTGATTCACTTCTACTTAATAAATGTGTTTAAAAGATCTTGACTTCTCCTGGTGCCTGAAGATGTTTAAATTAATATCGAATGTCATTACCCCGCAGTTTGGCAAGGAGCCTCTGAACAAGTTTATTACTTGCCATTCTTGTAATTGATTGTAATTTTTTAATCCCTGTTAAAATGTCAATCCCATTACTTTCTCCCTGACAAAATCACTGATTTCCTGCTGACTAAAACCGCAATTCAGTTGTCTTAGAATATGTTAATATAGTGATCTTTTGACCTAGACCTTTGTTTTACTCCCATTTTTGGATCACATAATTACACCAGTTAACTCTTCAATGGATTCATAGTATCGAACTTGTTTGTTGAACTCACCTCGGAGAACTCTTTACAACGTAGAAGATGCCATTGGTTCAGTTTGGCATTGAATGGCCAAACATTTCATCCCCACGTCTACGTGTGGACATCCTCGAGTCGTGGCAGGTCGCGGGCCCAGTGTTTGAAGGCGGTGGCTGCAGCCGCGTCTGAAGGATGTCCACCGCAGACGTGGATGAAACGTTTGGTCCCTCAATGCCAACTGGACAACAGCCTAACCAAGCCCCAGACAAAATTTCTGTTCTATTTACTCTGGCGTGAAAGCCTATGAATGACCCTTTATACATTGTGACTGTGAGACTGATAGTGCTGTTTTCATTTGTTGGTCTGGTCTCCTGTATTTCAAACGTTGCCAAGGTGGAAATGGTTCGGACATAAATTCTTCAGGAATTGCCTTCTATGTGGCTTCAATTTGAGTTGATCCAAATTTAATTCACGATTATCAGAATTAGTTGGCGATTGTTTTGACATCTCAAACTCACACTCTCTATAGAAAAGCACTATTTTCATGGGTACGATAGTAAGTAATATAGGTTTTGTTGAAATAATTTTTAATACAATGCCATGTCAAAACGTAAAAGAAGTTGGTAAAAGTGTTTATAATAGTGTCCTTGAACATCAGGTGGTTTTATTTTATCTATTCTTTTATACAATCTCTCAACATGCACTAACCATGTACCTATATAATCTAATCACAAGCATACACACAAACATTGCACATACAAACATTAACACACAATCACCAACACACTCACTTGTTAGCAGTTTTCCCCAGTCCCAAATGGTAGCCGCCTATCATTTTTTATATATATATATATATATATTATATATATAAAATATAAAAATAAACAACTTCCTAAATTTTGAGGGATTCCTAAATTAACTCTAGGAAAATTTGAGAATTGAGGATAATATTTAATAAAATTATTTTGTTTTACAAAATCTGGAAGAAAATATTCAAAATTTTAATTTATTGTGCTGAAAAAAAATAATTTTCAAAACTGTTGCCTATAGTGTTTTTCTCCGATTAGGAAGACACAAATGCGTGCTTATGAGAATCCATATGTTGTTGCCAACGATGGGCTTTTTCACGCTCCGCTTTGAGATTCGTCAAAATCACAGCTACCTTTCTCAAATATTGCAGCATCAGAAAAAATGTTTGTTCGCACACATATATTATTATTATTAATTATACTAAATATTTTATTTGCATAAATATCTAATACCAGGGCCTTTTCAGTATTTCAGGTAAAAATAAAAAAAAAATCAAAATGTTGATTGTGCTGGCAAAGTATGAGGTAATTAATTTACACTATAAACAAAACACTACAACCACATTTATCCAACTTTCATTTTAGTATATTATGTTCGCTTTTCTCCATTCTAAACTATAGCATTTTCTCGTAGATATAAATTATTTGCACAAAATTTAAAATAATTTCTTTCTATCATTACTGCCCTACTTGCTTACTTTTCAAATCTCCTTTACATTAATGAGCCTAAAAATATTTATGACATTTAGTAAATGTTGACGTTAGGTCTTCATCTACACACCCGATAGTTGCTGAACATTTTTAAAATAAAAATGCATTGAATTTGAGACCAATACGCGTATGCTACAAAATTGTCATAACTTCATTCCTACTGATTCTAATACTTCAGGCCAGTTAACTTTCATTTTTCCCTTGGGGGTCAGTATTTCATTCTCATTTTCCTTTTTGATTGTAAAGAAGAAATTCTGTTGATGCGCTGTTGCTCTACAAAATTCATTCACACGATTGACTCATGTTCTGATGTTTTCTTTAAAGTTTCAATTCTTAAAAAATGTTTTTTGTACCACAATTAATTATTTCCTTATCTACTGAACGAATACTAGAAAGACGAAATTCTTGAGTAGGGCTTCTCATGAATTATGCGAGTATTGATTTGGATGGTCCTTGGTGAATGAAATCATCTAAACTAACACTTCCGTTTCAGTCCTAGAAGTCGCCATGCCTTGCATCTTTGCCCCTTTCTTTTTGTGGCTCCCGTCGAGCCTCACATCGTCTCGCGTGTAGCCACACGCTCCTCAAGTTGCGCCAGCTTAAGTGCCCTTAATGTTTGTGTACCTTAAACTAAATATTTTCTACCCTAACAAAAAGTGTACTAAATGAAATTCTTGACTGCATTGCATAATATTTATTTCATTGTCTTAAAATATTTTAGTATTATTTTATAATGTAATAAGGCAAGTTATGAATGTTGACAGTGGAAAAATGAATCGGTTAAAATTTTGGTTTTATTGGATTTGCCAAAAACTTGTGATATAATACATTTTCTTTGTTCAAAAATATATTTTGAATATTAAATGTAGTCAGAATTTTGTAATCATTGTTTATTGCAGTTAGTCTGGTGATTAAATATATTATTTGTTCTTCAGGTCAACCTGATATATGACCCTAACAACAACATTGTCTTTGTGAGCTGATGCTGATCTTATTATGGCTTGGTCTTGCCACAACACGAACCAAATTTCACATTATCGAGAAGAATTCCACACCTAACAAACCCAAGCCCTGTGATACTTCTGCGGTCAAAATTGGTAAGTGATGAGAAACTAAGGTAAATATTGCAATACTGTAATTGTGCAGGTGCCATCAGTATGGATTTGTGTTTTTTTACCCAGTCCTGGTTGTGGATAATTACAAATCTCATTCATATCCATTTTTCTTAATAACTTAGTTTTATTTCTAGTTCTGTATATTGAATGTATAAGTACCTATGAACTGCGCATTGACTCACTATGAATTTCTTAATTTGTTGATGAATGCTAAAATGATCTCGGTATATTATCAGTTACCGTATTGAGAGATAAGTGGATTGAAAGAGGATCATTTGATCCATCATTAATTGTTATTTGAATTTTGGTTCAATCAGATTGGTTTTTCTTAGAGAGAAATAATCTTTCTTGAGATAAATTTTGTTTTTTAAAAGTAGATTGGCATTTACTCTCAAGTTAACAAATTTTTTGTTAAAGGAATGGTGCAGGTTAAAAATTTTGATGGCATGGGTGGCAGTGGAAGAAATGTCACATGCAAGTGATGAGAGATTAAATGCAAGACATTTACCACTATCGAGTTCAGACTTGGTTAGGGGGATTAATCCTCATTTTTGAAAGCTCCCTTCGGAAGTAGTCCTAGGACCAAGCTCACTTGCGATTAAAACCTAAAAAAAAAATTCTGAGAGAGACCATTCCTTGTTAAATATTTATGTAAATAGCAACAAAAGAAATTGAATTGATTATTAAATATCTTAGAACATAAAAGATATAACAACTAAATAAGAACAATTTTTCTTGTGTGAATAATGAATAGTTCAAACATAATTTAGCAACTATTCTGCTTTTCAGGTCATGAGATGAAAGATTGTATTGGTCTGCCTAAAGAACACGCTAATCAAGATGTAATTGCCTTTGGTTCAGAGGTGGAGTTTATTTTTGTTCGGCTCAACGTGTTACGTGAATATTTGGCAAAGGAACTTGAAATGCCCAATTTGCCTTTCGAATATAACTTTGAAAGGGCTATTGATGACTGGGTTTTCATGTGCTTTTTTGTGGGCAATGATTTCTTGCCACATTTACCATCATTAGAAATCAGAGAAGGTGCAATAAATCGTTTAGTGGAACTGTACAAAAAGACTGTCTACAAAACGGGGGTAAGTACTGTACAGTAGAATTTATTAGTTATTTGCTTAAATTAAAATTATTTATGGAAGATTATTTATTGCCATTTCAGTGCGACACCTACAGTTATTTAATCCAAATGAAAGTCTATACCTGAAATGTGCAAATATTTACCAAAGTTATATGACGACCCCATAATTTTGATGAAGCTTCATGAGAATGTTTTAAATTTCTGACGTATTTAAGATAAAACAAAATTGCAAATTGTCTTATAGACTAGAAAATTGCCTTGTTGATTAGAATGTTAAAGACTTATTTCTGAACTATAATTTTCTTGTTCCTTAAAATGATAATTGTCTCGGTCTGTTTTGTTACTACCCTCAACATCTTCTCATGTGTGAACGTTTCTTTCTTTTTTGTCCCTCTTCCATGCTGCATCACCTTTTGACTTTCTGAAAGTTTTGTGCCTTGAATTTGCATTGTTAGTCTTTTATCAAATGACGCGTAAGGACAATTCCCTTCTGTGTTAACAGATCTCTCCGACACTGTTGATGGCCTGTTTCTTTAACAGTTCTTGCACATTCTATAACAGAAAGAACTTAAAAATAGCTTTCTTTGCTGTTTGTGTGATAGAATTGTGATCTGCAAACTTGTACGTTTTTGTTCGTCTGTTTAGTGGGTAATGTGGAAGACAGAGGAAAGTTTCCATGATTGGGAAACTTTTGCCAAAAAATATATTTTTTTTACATCCTTTTTTGTTGTGGGATGTAGAATGCGTACATCTATCAATGTCATTATTTTCATTTCAGGCTCTTGCAAAATGTACGTTTGCATGTGCCATGTGTTGAACCAAGATTCCAAACAGCTATGTCATACCTGCATTGTATTACAAAATCTTGACATTCATTTTCACATTACATTTCATTTATACAATGCCATTTGAGATTCTCTTTCCCAGACCATTCAAAAATGTGTCTAAATTGCCCAGCAAGGTTGTGGTAAATGCCGATAATACAATTGCGAATAAGCATGATATTTTTATGGCCTTTGCAGCTTATTGTTATGTTAACATTTACAAGTTTTGGGACATTGAATGACGTTTAAAAACTTAAACCATAATTGACTAGACATCCTGCATTTTTTGACAAAGATATTTAGGAAAAAACTGTCTTATATTTGAGTAAATAAAGTAATTTGATTGAGAACTTGGGAGAGTTGTAAGGAAATTGAACTATTAATTTAATAGTGCTATTGAGTGAAGACCATCAAATTCATTAACAATTAGCAATCGGTAGCAAAGAGCATTAAGTAAATGTTACACATTGTGGTTAAATCCATGTGCTGTTTTTTACAATATCAATGGTAACTCCATTGTGAACAATCTACTCCACCTAAAATGAAAAGCTGATCAGAGCTGAATTATTTGAAGATCTAGGTAATGCATATGTAATGCATTCATTTTTTTTTTTATTCTCTTTCATATTAATGTTGATTTTCCCCCATTTACTTCAATGTAGCTTTTCTATATTTTTGAATCGGCTTCTCCTTGACATCTTGACGCTTTCTGCTTTTGGCTGTAGTTGATCTAATTTTTAAATAGATGCACAATATTTTAAAAGTCGCTGAAGAAAGTTGCACGTTGTTATCATAATTCTAATTGTTAGTTTTATATAATAAATGTACAACTTTCTTCTTTTCATTTTTAATTTTTTTTTTTTTTTTAACAGAAATGAATGTTCAGTCGATGAAATTAGTGTTGTAAATAAAGTATTGATTATTTGATACATCAATATTTTCATGCCATTTTATCAGAAATTGAGATGATGTTTTGTATGCTAACATAATCATTAAATCTGTATTAAAAGCTGAATACTGGTGTTGATATTTCTTGGTTGTGTGTTGCCATTTTGTCATTTGATAGTGATGTCATAATTAGAATGAGTTAGTATATTTCTACTAGTAAATAAAAATAATATTAAATCAAACACTGATGTAGAAGTAGGGTCCTTTATGGTGATTTGTGTTTCAAATCTATAAATAATTCATTTAAAAATTGCTTGTAACTGGTTTGTGTACTTGTATGATTTTTAATCTGTATTTTCAGTTAAACTCCATTTATACATTTATGCACTTTACACAGTTTGTGTTGTTTATAAATCCCAATTCGTATTATCCTCATGTTCAATTATTTTGGTTATGCATTGTACATTTATTCTTCTTTCATGCTTAAACATTCCCAATTAAAGTCTTGACTATATACTTCCTGATATAGATGACCAGTAAGTGAGGAAGATTGTTATCTTAGAGAAGCCCAAGGAATTTGTGTGGTTCAGTGTTCAGGTTGTTTAGTTTTTTTTGGTAGACAAAATAGACTGTCATATTCTGCCTGTTTCATTGGAACTTGATAGTAATTGTGGAGACTGAACAGAACTGCTGATGCAAGGATAATTACGCTTGCTCCCGCCAATGACTTCGCGCAATGTTTGTGTGTCCGCTGGAATTGCTTTGACAAATGTTAAAATTTCCCATGGTTCGGCATTGGTTAATGTTTGGTAACTCTGTTCAGTAAATACCTGGTCTATTTGTACGATAAAGTAACTTAGGTGATGTGGGTAATGGGGCAGTTGTCACTATTTGAGAGAGTAAATTTATGTTTTAGGCACAGAAAGAAGCAAATGGTCTAAGATCACACTCTTGAAAAGTGAGACCTTTCTTTCTTGAAAATATTATGTAATAAGATTATATGTGTATTATTTTCTAAAGCAGAATTGTCAAAATATTGAGTTATTATTTCTCATTTCAGTTGCACGTTTTTCTCACTTTTACTTTTTTTCCCTTTTGATCCACCAAAAAAATAAACGAAGTTTTACTGTGAATACAGAAATAAATATCAGCCAAAATTCTACCGACTTCTACTTATTCTACTGATCTTTTTATTTCACACCTGGGAAAAACCTGGACCTAAAAGGCCTTGTTTGATGATTATGTTGATACCATCTGCTGTTTAATGATAATGCCATCTGCTGTTTGATTATGATCTGAGATTTGCTGCATCAGTAGGTTAATAAAAATAGCATAGTATTTTGACATATCAGTCAGAAAAGATTGTTAAAATATTGCATCAAGAAGAAGAATGCAAGAAATATTCCTAAAGATTACATTGATTTACAAACAAATGTGACTTGGGGAAGCCATAAAAGAAATGGTTAGATCAGGAATACTGTAAAAAATCCTCCAGGCCTGAGAAACGGGAACCAGCATTATATAATAATGATGATGATATTGAATAAACTTTTATTTTGAATATCACTTTATTAACACACATGAATATTGGGTTTTCAAGAAACGTGTTTTTCTTTTATGTTGGCTTTTAATTATTTTTTTATAATTATTTAGTGGTATATTTTAGCAGTGATTTATCAATATTTTCTGGCCGATTATTGGAATTAGATACATTGATCTTGTCAAAATATTAATATATTGATAATAAAAAATTTTAATTTTTGAGCAATCCGAGATAAAGTTATAATGAATTATTTTTTGCTTGCCTTAGGGATTTTTGACAGACAGTGGGAATGTGAACTTGGATCGTGTGCAGCTCATCATGCAAGATTTAGGTGGTGTTGAGGATGAGATATTCAAGAAGCGACAGCAAAGTGAGCTAGCTTTCCGGGCACGTGAAAAGGCCAAAAAAAGGCGGACGAGAATGTTTCAGAACTGGAAACCACAATGGACACCAGTAGGCCAATTTGCTCCGCAGGTAAGTGTTGTGTGCAGAAGTTTTAATTTGGTATTTTATAAATTGTACTCCAAATGTGAATTGTACGTTGACCTGCACAACTTTTCTTGACTGATGGTCTACCTTCCTACTACCTGATATAATAAGCAAAGTAAACACTTGCAATGAACATTGATGACAACATGTCAAAACAGAAGGTATTTGCCATTGAAGATGAGAACACCTGTTTATGTTTCTCATCGAGAATTTTGTAAAGAAATGGCTAAGACCGCTCCCAAGTCTGGAGTCCCTGGAGTCGCCTCAAACCTAAGAAAGGAGAATAGCGTTAAATGCCAAATTATTGAGAAACTTGTAAACCGTTGTGTTCCAGCATGCGAGTTCGCAAAAGAAAACAAGATGCTAATGTATCCTCTAAGTAATGCTTTGGATTGGCCTTTTTTTTACTTACACAGGAGCAAATATTTTGACAATAAGGAGAATAAAGACCAAAAGAGCCAATAATCACTTAAATTCTTCAAAACACCTGGTTAAAAAGGTGACATTCAAGGAGACTGTATTTTCAAACTCTATGCAAATATATTTTTTTAACATATTTTCACCAACTTTCCACAGATTTTAGAGTAAAAGCTAGATTTCTAGTATTTTAAGTTTTAAAAAAAGTTTCTCTTAATTACTTTTTAAATTCATGCAGTTGATAAGAATAAATATATAACAACAAAACAAGAAATGTAACATCAAGCAAACGAATCCAGTATGCCCCTCAGGTCAAGAAATTGTTCAGTTATGAATTAATGCAGGTTTGACTTCGATTTTCCAGAAATTAGCAGTGCATGAAAAATAGTGGCCGCTTTTGGAACTAATACCCCCACTCTACCCACATTTTTCCAATCAATCAATCAATCAATCAATCAAGAAAAGTTGTGTGGATTTTACTTGTAATTTGATTTAGGAATAGGTAGCTATGGGGGTTACCACATGTGAGATAACAATGAAAAGGTTAAAATTTTATATCATACTAGCAGATCCCAGCAGACATTCTGCCCTTTCTCTTTCTTAGTCTCCCCCGTGTCTTCACCAACCCACCCCTCCCCCACAGCAGAAATGTAATGGAATGATAAATAAATAAAGATATTGTCTGGTATCAACACTGGAGCAAACTTTGTCGTACATACCTTGCAGCTTCTGGGCCGAAAACAAAGTTCTGTGAATTTTTGAGCTTGTGTCTTGTTTAAGAACACAAACGGTCGGCAGCGAGAGTGGGTGGGAAGAGGGGTGGGGTGCGGGTGAAGGGTCATAAAACGCGGGGGTTCTGGTGGAGGCTTGAGAGACTGTCGGGCGAGCGAAGGTCAGTGGAGTAGGGAGGGCTAGGGGTGGGTTAGGGGTGTACACTTTGTGCTAATTTTAGCAGAGGTGAAGAGAGTTCAGCAATCCCTGACCCAGTTTGCTTACACATCTTGCATACAATAACTACAACCTGTTAATAATATTTGTATTTCACATTTTAGCTCTGAGGATGATCGCTACTCGATCAAAACGATCATAAGCTGAATAAAATAAAAAGTATTGATACCAGACAATATCTTTATTTATTTATTGTAATAAAAAGGTATCTACCTCACCAGCAATCTAATTAATGTAATAGAATGTTCAAAAAGATCTCATCCCGTAAGTTATGGAGTGGAAACATTTCCTTGAGGCCTTTGGCCTCACAATATTAAGTTTTTAATGATCTACAACACTTTGTTTAGGAGTTATTTAGTGATATAGATTCAAAAAATTCTGCAGTGTTAGGTGGGTTGCATTTGACATGAATCTTTAATTTTATTCTACAGCGCCATCTACTGAATTTTTCTGATATTTTAATAGTTGTTCTGCTATTCGATGCGAAGAGGAATCCAACAAATCAGAGACAATTATAGCTGTTCTTGAGTTATAAATGCTTGGAGGAAATGTCGAAACTTTAAAATTAAGCTCTTAAGATACTTTTAAGCATATTTTGTGTAATAAACTATGTGGATATTCCGAATGGATGAACCACAGTAAGCGCTCAAAAATTCTAGGCAAACATTTGCCCTGCAGAAACATGTAAATTGTCCATTATTTCCAAAAGAAATGTATACATTTGTTTGGAAAGAAGAATTAACACAGAAATAAAAATGCACCAAATATAAAGAATTCAACTGCAACTTTATATCACAGTCGATTGGGTAATTTTTTATAGGAAACATTTATTTCAAGAGAGAGTTTCAAAATGAGTGTGAGAATCACTGTTATTTTTCTGGTCACATCGAAAGGAATGTTGTTCTGTAGATTATTGATGAAGACCAAGTGACTAAAATAGTACATTAAAGGAGAAACTTATTAACGCCATTATTCGCTTTTCTACTCCTGATTCTCAGATAAGTTTAAATGTGAACATTAAGATAAATTACCATATTTGGTTTTCAGAAACAGGTGCTTGTTATTCTAATGCTGCAGTACAGCTTTTATTATAGCGTACCATACAAACTAGGTCACTTGTAACCTTATAGTATTTATACACAATTCGTGGTAATCAAATCATGAAGCAAAGAATCGAAATAGTTATAAAGAACAGATATAGATTAGCAATGCTGCCTCTAAAAGTGAAGCCAAGCTCATGACTTCACTTTTATGGGATGCGTTGCCAATGTAGTTTTATAGTACTTAAGGTATATTTTTATTATTTGAACTTAATTTGTTTGCCAACCGCAAATGTTTTATTTTCAAAAATGAAAAGATCAATAAATGATGATTTATTATTGTAAAAATTTCTGTAAATTTTATTTTATCGTGTAGAAATTGCCGTCTAGTGTAATCATGTTACAAGTAATCATGATTATATAGTCTATTTTTTCATTCATCATACAAAGATGAGAAAAGTGAAGTGTGAACAATACTTATTTGTTAACCTTGCTCCTAAGGAATTTGTGTTATTGATTTTCCATCATATTATGTAGTAATTAAGTTTTCTTCAGTTTTCTGTATCGCTCAGAAATGTGTAATATATTAGTTATTTTACAGAATACAAGTGATTTTATGAAAATGCAATGCTTATGAAAACAGAGAGGTATTTAAAGTGTCATCAGCTGAAGGAAATCTTGAATTGTTTACAATTACAGCCATATATCAGACTGTGGTTTAATGTGTTACAATTATTATTTGTAACTAACAAAAGTATGAGAATACAACACAACTGCCTTACACTTATGTGCAACACCTTAGAATTGGGTGACAGGAAAATAGGGTTATGCGCAATTTCTTGGCTTAACTGCTACACAGCACCCTGCATAGGTATTGCCAATCTATGTACTATATATTTGAGGTATAAACCTAAGAATGTTTAACATCTACTTGAAAGTGGAGGTATATTGAAAGTACATGGGGTGATAATTTTCTGATGAATTAACACATGAAGTAAATGTAATGTATTCTCTCTCTCTTCTAGGCTGTAGGTAGTGGTCCAGTTGCTCCAATACAAAATGCACGTCAAGAAGCATTTCAGATGCGTATGCAAGGAATGCACACAAGATCTGGTTTTGGTAGTGCAGAAACACAAGAGGTTAGTCATGTTCTCTTGTGTCTGGTTTTCTTCATTTGTACATTTCACAGAAGTATGGTAGACCAGTTTAGGTTCCTGAAGTGAAAATTGTACGTTTTTTGTTTTGTTGATATTAGTATTATTAGTATTATTGAATTGTGTGAAAACAGGATGGGGGAAGGGGTGTGAAACGGAAATCTGATCAGATGGACCAAAATGGGAACCAATCAGATGATGAAGACAATGGGCCTCCAGATGAAGTCAGATTGTGGGAAGATGGCTTCAAAGATCGCTACTATGAATCAAAGTTTGACGTAGATGCTAAAAACATGGAGTTCAGGCTGAAAGTAGCCCATGAGTATGTTCGTGGTCTCTGCTGGGTTTTGCAGTATTATTATCAGGTAAGCAGTTTTCATATTTTTGATAAATATTACAGATTTTTTAGAATACAGAATTTTTCAAACTTATTTTCTGTCAAATTGTTCCTTGTTTTGAAATTCATTTGTGACATTTAGAATTTATAGTCTCCATTCTCAGTTGACTGCTTGTGTCACAGCACCCCTTTGAAGTGCTTAACAGAAAAAGGCTGCCCTTGATCATACACATTTTAGCTATGAAGTATTTTTATAGCAATGGATTGATACTAAAGAGCTTTCTAGTCTGAATTTCCAAGCCTGCCTTAATTTGTATAGACTTGTCTGTCGTAGTTATGGGTTGAGATTTCATTGAAAATTGAATGTTATTGAATATCACTTTATTAGAAGTTTGAAGAATCGTGTAACAATTTTACAACTATCTTTCATATTATTTTAAGTAAATCAACAAAAAATTTGAAAATTGCAGGGTTGTGCCTCATGGAAATGGTACTTTCCATACCATTATGCCCCATTCGCATCAGATTTTATTAACATTGGGACTCTCTCAACAGAATTTGAGAAAGGAACTAAACCCGTAAGTAAAACTTTTCAATTTGAAGTATTTCAAAGCAATTAGTCTTCAGTGAAATTAGAGCAGCGTACTCATACGAAATGTTTTGATTTTCAGTTCCGTCCTCTGGAACAGTTGATGGGAGTGTTCCCTGCTGCCAGCAGTTCACATGTTCCTCCTTCGTGGGCACCTCTTATGAGTGATCCGGTAATAATTTAATGGTTTCAACTTACAAATTGAATTGTTCGTGACTTCTTTGTATCTTTTTTTTATTTTTATTTTCTTCTTTTTTTATTTTTTTTTTAAGGAATTACACAAACAACATTTCCTTGTTTGACTGTATTGTGACTGTATTGTTTGTGCTGTTAAAGTTTGTATAAATGATACAAGTGCAATCTTGCTCTTCCAAAAGAATTGTTGGTTCAACAACGTATGTTGTGCCTGTATGTATATATGTATGTGTGTGTTTTTTGTTTGTTTTTACTTTGTAAGAAGAGAAACTATTTACGAAAAAGTATATTTTATGGGTTAAAGAATATTTATTTCCCAGTCAAAGACATGGTATCTTAGTAATGTCTAGGCATTTTAGGATCTAGGTTCTGTCGACTTTCCCAGGAGATAAAAAATTCCTTTCCTCCACTTAGAAAAAGCAATGCTTAATTGATCCATTGTAATTTACAAATTTGATGTAGAGCTTATTAGAGCTCCCGAGACTGAATAGTCTGAAATGGACTAAAGAGCTCCAGTATAATTTGAGGGTAATCAATAAACATTTGTCTGAACATACAGTAAAACTTATTTGTAACAGTCCTCCGAATAATGTTTTCCTCTGTGTCTTGAAAAAATTTTTCCGGTTCTGACCAAAAGTATAGTCTTCCCCTTTATAGTGTTTTCCTCTATACAATGTACAGAATTCATGGTCCCTTTAAATATGTTATATAGAGGTTTCATTGTAGTTGATTCCTTTCCATTTACTTTACTCTCCATTTTGTTTTTATTTAAAAGATCTTGTTTCTTCCATTTTCTTCAACCAGATTCGTTACTTTGCTTTTTCTTCCTTCATTTTCATTTTGTAGACAAAGTGATATGCTACTGACTTGAAGACACATGGGTATTTATATATCTTTACAATCCTTAATTATTAGTTTTCCTTCTATGGGGTTTGATGTTCACCTGTCAAATTGTTGTATGTCCCACCAAGATCATCAGAACTCTCATTTGTCTCTATCCTAGTGTTAGAAGAAGCAAGAAACTGACATGTGTTCAATTTTGTAACACTGCATGACATATTGTCCTGCCATGCCTTGCTGGATTTGTGTTTTAAAATTAATTGCCAAGATGATTATGTCAATTTGCTGAGTTACTGCCATAGATGAAATACGAAATGTGCCATACATCAAGTTGAGTCTCTCACCCTTGATATAGTTGTGAAGGGACAAATTTTACCTTTATGCAGTGCATCAAATTAAGTAGAACATTTTCCCTTTATTGAATTAAGAAATGAAATGGTCTTTGTTTTTCAGGAATCTCCTATCATTGATTTTTACCCTGAAGATTTCAAGATTGATTTGAATGGTAAAAAGTTTGCTTGGCAGGGTGTGGCCCTCTTACCTTTTGTTGATGAGAAGCGTCTTTTCAAAGCATTGGAACCATATTATTCACAGCTGACAGATGCAGAAGGTAAGTTTGGTGGTGGTGGTGTTTTTTTTATTTTATTTTTAATGTTAAATACCTTAAAGATCATGTGGTGTAACTTAACATTTTCCTTGTTCTGAGATGCCTTATGTTTTGCGAGTGTTGCTAGAGAAATTCTAGCAGTACATTATTTTCTATGTTTTTATGTTTGATTCTTTAGAAGGGTTTGTTTTAACTCATATTGACCAAGATGATTAATTTTGACCAGTTATAGACTTGATGTTAGGGTCTGATTTGATTTATTTGGTCTAAGAACAATAAGAACTGTATGTGACTAGTGGGGGAGAAGTACCAACATATTTGTATTGGTAAATTAACTGCAGATTTAATTGCTAACAAAATAGTATCACACCCTTACTCTACTCCTAGTACTACAAGCAAAAGTGATCTCAACAAATCATGTGCAAAGTGAAGCTACATTTATCTCCAGCAGTAAAAGGGCAGGCCATCTCAGCATTTGTTCAAAGGATGAGGGAAACTAGACAAAAACCTGAGCAAGATGGAAAACTGATTGACCCGGAAGCTCAAGGCTTACTTGTTATGGGCATACTAACTCTTTTTTAAAAATTATACAGTACAAATGTAAACTAGTAATGCATTATATATCAATGTTAAAATATGTATGCAATAAGTATGAATATGGAAAATGATTATAAATATGATATATATCATTGTTAAAATATTATTTTTCTTTTTGATGGACAGTGTAAGCTCTAATTGTATAGAAACAGAAATGCTGCTGAAAAGATTTCACTTTGCACATTAACTTGTATATCAATTTTAATTGTTTAATATCACCTGTCAGTGTGTTGTATAATTATGTATGTGTATGTTATATGTGGATTTCTTGTAGTGAGCTGCTGACACCAAATAAAAGAGATTTGTACGACATGTGTTTTAGTATAAGTATTGCATGGAAATATGTTCCTTCTGTTAAGTAAGTCTTTTTAGACAAAAACTACATTCAGTAGAAACCCAATTTATCGTGATTCCAATTTAACGTTGATTTCTGAAATGACCATTTGTAATTCATGTATTTATATTTTCGATTTAATGGCATTAGCTTTGCCGCATTTTACGTTCAAAATTTTTTGATTTATTTTATTATGATTGTTTTTTTTTGTTTTTTTTTTTTTTAATTCTTTATTTCCCTTCTGTGATTGAATTGAATTGAATTAATGCCTTATTTTATGTGGCGTTACGAGACCTGCTCTTCCGTCTGACCTCGCAAATTCCGCTATGCTTCTTTCACCAACTAGCAGAGAAAGGAGGTATTTCTTAGGCGAGAACAGGCGATTTAAATTTAGCTCAGAGGTGTCATTTAGGCTTGAGAATCTTTTACATGCAAATAAATCTACTAACATGGACCAGCCGGCTTTACTTTCCCTCCAAAGGAAGGAATACAAATGATTTTTTCGCCCTTAAAAATCCAAGTCTTCGATCGGGTTTAAACCCTCCAACTTGGGTACAACAGTCTTATACGCTAACCATTACACCATTGCCGCGCCACGATTTGGGAACTGTCAGCAAGTTTGTCATCTGATGCTATTTGTCATGATTTGCAGCCAACTGTAGTGTGCAAAAATTGATAACAGCTGTAATGACATCTGTATTAAGGTGATGTTATACTAAGTTTGCTGCTCTGAATTAGATTGAGACATAGCAGGAGTGTTCCTCATCCATATAAATATAACATTTGCAGATCAAACTTACGTGTATTGCGATTGAATGGGACAATCCATAAATTTCGTACTGCAAATTTACAGTATTTTGAATACCTCTTCCCCTCATGATGCATCGGTAACACACATTTAAATTACCACGAAATAATTACGTAAGGCTTGCAACAAGACCCTCTCCTCCCTTAATTTACAATAAATAAAATAAATTATAAAGTAGAGACAATAAATTGTGTAAATTTATGTGTTACATGTTAAAATTTATGATAGTCAGAATTATTTGGTGGTGTGGACTGCATCTCACAATAAGATTGGGGGCAGTTTTTTTAGGGAGGTGTCCTAATTGAGAAAATTTTTGAAAACCCTTTGTAATCTAATAAGATTCAATGAAAAAAATTGGCAACCATGTACTTTTGTTTATTATAACAATTTGTACATCATAACTTTTTTTTGGTAATGTTTTAATCTGGTAATGTCATTTAATTTGGTAATGTTTTAATCTTTGATACAAGACTGAATAAAAGGAAATATTTGAAAATGTTGAAAAATTTAAAGATAAATATCAACATTACACAACACTAAAACATGACCTCCCTTTCCCTATGTAACACAACGTAACAGTGCCTCCCCCATCTTTAGTGTTATGTAGTTTATGGACAACCCCTATGATTAAAATCAAGCATTTTTTAAATAAAATTGATAATTTCTGATAAATTTTAAGTTGTTTTTTTCAAAGAATACCTTAAACCACCTTTAAGTGTAAACCTCCATTTAATGTAAGAATTTTTCACTCCCCTGAGGTAACATTAAATAGGGGTTCTATTGTAGTCGTCAAATAAATAAGCATGGCATTGCTAAGATTCCAAGCTCAATGAAGAGAGACTGGCAGGAGTCACATGGATGGCATTTTTTTATTATTCAAATTTTTTCTGCAATCTAAAGGTCTGGGCTATGATGAGCTTTCCCAGAATATTGCGCCATATTTCTGACAGGAATGTTAGTTTGCAAAATACATGCAATGAGTTGCATGAAGGGTGACAGAGTTTGAAAGAATTCTTAATGTGTAACGTAATGAACATAATTTACAATTTAATTCTGGTTCATGTATATTCCATTTGAGATTGACTGAAATGAGAGACCCGGAATTTTCTTACCTTAAGATCAGCTAATTACATATTGTTCATTTTCAATGGAGTATGTGATAGCCGATTTGATATGCAAAAAAGATTAACTATTGCTAATTTTTATTACAAAACTAATTTCAAACTTCTGACATCTTATTATTTATTGATGCTCTTTTGCAAAGAACGATTGTTATTGGCAAACAACTGTTCTCCATTTTGAATGGCATATCGTTTACATACATAAGAAGGAGGATAGGACCTAAAATCAAATTTGCGAGACCCCATGCTCATTGGACAAAGAATTAGAATGATAAGTAAATAATGTACTTTTGTGTCAGAATGGAATTTTTACTCTCTGAAATCAATGTTTAAGATACAAGATTATCCAATCTAGGGCAATATCACGAATTCCATAAGAAGGTATTTTTGAGAGCAAGGTGTAGTCAATGTCAAAAGCTTTCGAAAAATATAAAAATATTCCAATTGATGCTTCATTTTTGTCCATTGATGAAGCAACATCTTTAAGAAAGAAAGAAATTGCAGATTCTTTAGATTTCTATTTTCTAAAACCATGATGAAAGTTTGAAAATGAAATGAAAAGAGCTCTATTAGAGATGTTATGGCATATCACAGAATGTATATTTTTATCCTCCATTCATGTGCAAGATGTGTGCAATTAGCCAATTATTCAAATTATTATCAATGTTCTGGACAGTGTCAATATTTTACAATTAGGACACAAGAACTTTTAAAATAAATATTCTTGCACTGTTCAACCATTGAATCGCTTTTTTTTACGCTTGATACGCTTTTTTTTAACAAATTCTATGACTTAGTAATAGTTTGGTATATAACAAGTCTATCTGGTTCTGTGCAATTTTGAATCTATATCTCCTTTATTCTCATTCTTAGATATGGTTACCTGAAGTTTTCTGTTTATGTAAGTAATCAAAGGGAAAACAATGATTCAGATTTGAACTTTGCAAACTCATTACATATGTACTTTTCTTTGCAGTGCGTCGGAATGTCAGAGGTGATGACAGACTGTACATGGCTCCAAAAAACACAGGGTACAAATTTGTTAGTGGGCTATACGAGAACAGAGTTGATGGTGAAGTGGATATTTCTGTGGATGGAATTTTTGGTCAAGTTTTGCTTGCCAAAGATTGTGTTTCAATGGGAGGGTAAGTATTAAACTGAATTACAGTTGCTATTTTACATTTCTTTTAATAATATCAGTTCTCAAAAATATCTTGGTAAATATAAAGTGATGTATGTATAATGTGTGTATGATACTTTTTTGTGTAACTATCAAAATTTGATTTGGAATGAAGAAAGTTCTTAAGCACTATTCAGCATGTCTGAAATAAAATGCAATACAAAACATTATGATTCTACAGTCAACTCATTTATTGTGAATGTGTAGAGACGAACATTTTTAGTTCACTGTTTTAGAAGTTACACTGAATTTGATTATATGAAAATGAACTAGTTTCTACTTGATAATTAATTTACAGACAGATTTTCAGAGAAATATAGAACAGTACGAAATCGAAATTTTATTATATTCATTTCACCTGGAAATAATTATAATTTGTATTACTATATTATTTTAGAAGTGTACAGTTTTTTATTAATACTTTTTCCATATCCATTTCTGGAGTCTATGCTTTTTCGACATTTGGTTTTTTCAGTGAACAAACTAAAAATATTGTAGATTTCTAGCTACCTTTGAGTGACTCTTGCCCAGTTGGAATACTTTTTACTTTTCTGTGGACGTACATATATACAGACTAATATACATAGTATAGAGAAAGTTATGTAATGCTGTGGAAAATAGATTTCGAGATTTCAACAGAAATACACCCCTCACACCGAAAAAGTGGTTCTTTTCAAAACCTCCGTCTATCTGTTCATCCATCTGTCCAATATGGTTTTAATGACATTGTACAAAAATAACAAGTCAATTTATAGACATACTGTGTTCTACCAGTCAAGTAAGAACTTATCCAGGACAGAAGAGGTTCGTCCCCACCAATCTTGGACAATTTGCAGGTCAAAATGGGATGATTAACTTTGTCGAAGGCTTAAGTGAAGTCAGTATAAATTGCATCTACTTGGTATCCATCCTCAAATTCATCTGCAATAATGCTTCTAAAAACTGTCAAGTTTGTAATAGTTGAGCTGTGTCTCCTAAATCGATGCTGACTTTCAGAATACAAATTCTTGGAATTCAGCATGAAGAATTTAGTTGCCAATGTTTCAAACAAAAGGGATAGCACTGAGGATAGAGATTGGATAGGAATTTGCGATGTCTGATTTATTGCCCTTTTTTCTGAATGGGAATCACTCTACTAGATTTCCATGACTGAGGAAAAATACCAGTGTGCAAAGATTGATTAAAAAGTATCCAAAGCGGTCGTGAAAGTGAATATTTACATTCACGTAAGATGTTCGATATTAGGTCAGAGCCAGCTACCTTGTTAATAGTCAGATTACCAATTGCTTGAAAAACATCTGGCATCTAAATGTCAATAGAACGAGTCAGTCACACAATTAGTCCAAATCAGAATGAATTCAGTAATCTAGTTAGTCAGATAATTATACACAGACGGAGAGTTGTCTATTGAAGTATGTAACGAACAAGGAAGCTATGCGTTGCCCATCATTTTCGTGACTTTCCTCTTGGTGCATGGTACAAGATAATTTATTCTGTGAGGTAGTATTTCTGATGTCTACGAAATTCCCGAGAATTATTAGTGACAATTCAGTCGAAATAATAAATTTTTTGGGACATCTCTTTTCCTCTTTAGTGAACAATTTATCAGTCGTTTACTAATCTCTTTGTTAACTAGCACCACTATAATTATCTGTACTCTTTTTATATTTTGTAAGTTTTTATATATCTCTTACAGATAGTTAAACTTTTATTGGACTAATTTTTCTAGGAAAATTTTTCTAAAAGATAATGTCATTTTCCCTAAACAATTTATTAGATAATAATGTGTATTGAATATTACAAAAATAATAATAATATTTTGATTATGAAAGTAATGAAATTAATTTCTTTGTCATTTAATTTCAGATTCAAGAGTATGAAATAAACTTAAATTTCAAACTAATTAGTTTATCAATTATATTTGAAAATGTAGAGAAATGTAAAAATTATTTTCTACCGTGTATTTTCACAAATTCATTTGTCGTACAGATTGTGTAAAATTGCAGGAATTTTTAGCTACTTTCTTCCTGCTTGTTTTGCACTGAATAATTGAATCTTTTATTATGATTTCAGAAACTTAAATTCACCTGTCCGAGGTCTTCTTGGAGTTATGGATAACAGTGTAGTGACGTAAGATCATCTTACAATATTGCATGTAATTTTCAAAATATAGGTAAAAGATTTTGTGCTATATGTCATATTTTACATTTCAGTATTAGTTTCCGGGACCCAAAATATCCTGATAGTTACGTATTTCCTGCAAAAAGGCTTCCTGGAGCAAAGTAAGTTCTATTTTTTAAAAATTATTATTGTTGTTATTATTATTATTATTATTATTATCACCACCCATTATCATCATCATCATCATCATCATCATCAACATTCCTTGTAACTAGGGGAAAGTTGAAGTTGATCTGAAATTCATCTGCTTTGTAGTAAATAGAAAAATGGATAACCCTTTGCATTCAAACTGACACAATCTGTTTAGTTAAAAATTGTTTCTAAATTCAATCTAGTAAAAGAAATGAGTGAGGAAAAAAATTAGAGTGAATGTTCTTCTCTATTTCTTTTAACTTTCTCCTTTTGAAATGCAAGGATGAAAATTGATTTCTGTTTGTTTGCGACAGGGAGCCTCCAAAAGTCTTAAAACCTGGAGATCTGAACGCCCAGGAATCTCGGAACTGGAGGCCTCAGTTGGGCATGGCTCCAGCCACACAACGAGCCAGCCTTGGTGATGCTGGCCACAGGATGCTTGGGTGAGTGATTTCGAGCCTTCAGGAATGTCTTGCAACATAAATACCTCAAATCTGGTTTTGAAGGCTCTTTGTTATGAAATATACGAGAATTCTCAATATTTACTTTCAGGAGTACAGCTGTTTTAAGTTATCTATATGTTTTACTTAATCACTACATTCACGTTACGAAATTAAATTTACAAATTTCAATACAGTGCAAACTTACAAAGGAAGTAGCGGAATACGATAGGGGGAAAAAAAAAATGCCCCCTGCAGATTGAAAATTGTTTATAAGTCATAAAAGAACTGGATGAAATATTGTGTTGGGGTATTCATGAAGTTCTTCATTAAATGGCTCTGTGAGGATGAGAGTTAGAGATGTGTATGAAAATTACGTGTTATTTGCAGCCACCAAGGTGTTGGGCGAGGAAATGCTGGTGCAGGGATCTACAGTGCAGTGCCACCCATGATGTCTTGTGAGTATTTTTTCAGTATATTATTTTGATATGTGGGAAGATGTTAATGATACCTAAAATCAAGTGATTGATGAATATCATACTTATTTCTGAGCAATGCCAATGGTAAAGATGTCAGCCTTAATGCCCTCCCGTTTTTTGGGCAGGTCATTTCTGTGGTGATTTGCCTTTGCCTTCTTCCTTCTTCTAAACGATAGTAGTAAGTTTTAGCAGTAATAGTGAGAGGAGAATGATAATGGTAGATGAATAATTGTATAGACGATGTTAGCTCTGTGCTGTTTCGAGGAGTCAACCACTGCACAGCCCCTGATAAACACTTCACTGGGATTTGAACACAGCCTTCAGCTTTGGCCTGTCTGGACATAGCTCGAAGGCCCTCTCCTCTGAGGCCTAACACTATCTTTTTTTCATAAATACTATTTGGAGTTTCAAAATGTGATTTTTTAAAGAGATCCATATTATTGAACAGATTTTAGAGTGAGATATGTGAATCCTCATGTGATATTTTGTAAATTTCTGATTTTGTAAGTTTCTTTTGTGTGGTTCTTGTTGAATGATGAACCCAGCTGCTTGACTGAAAATCCAGTCATTGGAAGCGATTTATTGCGTAGAAGATATTTTAATTTTAAAATATGCAGAGATTCTAATATATAATATAATATATTAGTTTTGTGTGTGTGTGTGTGTGTAATATAAATAAAAGGTATGTATATACTTGTGTAACATTATGTGTGTTGTGCATTAGTAGGATGGGGCTAGTGATGCAGTGGCTAGTGGCTTTATTTAATACTAAATTTTGGATTTTATCCTTTTCAATGTTTCCTTTATCATCAATATTTTCTCAAGCGTGGGTCCGAGATCTTCCAGTGGACTGCGAAGAGATATGTGGGAGAAAGTAAAGGGGGCCACGGGGTGAAAGTTTTTTGTTATTGTCATTTGGAAACACTGCGATCTCGGAATTCAAGAGCGTGTGTATAGAAGCTTAGGTCCACTGTGTTCTCAGAAATCACATTCAACCCATTCCTCTGCCATGGGAGCAGGGAGCTCAGTGTTATGTCTTTCCAGAGTTGCCTTGCCGTGTTTATCGTATTTTCATTATGTCGTTTCCTCATTTATTAGTGGTTACAAAATAATTTTGTACAGTTACATATGCTCTTCGTTATAAATTTGTATTTTTGCTATATTTTACTAATTGGTAGTGGACTTAGTTGAATTCGAATGTGCTTCTACAAGCTCCTGTAGCTTTTTCCGAATCACCAGCGTTGTAAAACTGTAGCGGCCAGGTATATTTAATCCCACTGCCTCGGTGGTGGAAAGAAGGAAGATTCTGCCTGCACAGATTACGAGATCTTGAGTACGAAGCTTGCGATTGCCTGGGCGCGTGCGGCGTTGACTCGCTGCACCAACGGGCAAGAGAGATTTTAACTCCATTCACTCGAACTACGAAACCGAATTGCGTGCCGCGAGATGTCTTAACTCGACAAAAAAGTGAGCAAAGAGACAATCTTTAAATGCCTTCAAGGAACCCTGTGAATTGACACTTTCATTAGTAAACAGACCTTGGCGAATCGCTGACATGTCACATGCAAACCTAACCACCTCTGCATACTAAAAGGCGGTAATCGCTTGGCCGAAAATGTTTGCAAAGAATTGTGAAGTTTAATTTTTAACGACGCTAATATTCGTCTGCATACTGAACCTTCGCAATGCCATTCAGCTGGATGGTGTCATTATACGATGTGTGTGAATTGAATTGAATTGAATTTGCCTTATTTTACGTGGTGAGACGTGGTGAAGAGGGGATCCTCTCACACATCTGAATCGTGCCCAAAAAATCTTGAAGAAAAAAATTAAAACGATCCCAAGAAAAACTAATTATACAATTTCATCAATGCGAACTGTAGTTGCAATAACATAAGTACAATTCGTTAGAATACGCAACCCTTGTGTATACTGACATCCCATGAACCAAACACGCCATGAGTAGGCTCGCCCCCCCCCCC